TGCCCCTCCACCCCCTGCCCACAGAACACAGACTGCTGAACACCAGTTCTTCCTCAGTCCCCAGCCACAGTCCCCAGGAAAGGGACACGTCTCATCTGCAACATGGCGAGAAGGTCCGGCCTCCTCTCGTGGGGTGCCTGGCTCTGTCCTGCCTGGTGTGGCACCAGCGGAGCTCCCCATGGCTGCTGCTAGACTCAGGCCAGACCCAGCCTGGGTCTCCCCGCACCTGCATGACCAGCCAGCATTGCTGCCCTCTCCTGTCAGCTCCTTTTCTGATGACGGTGTCGTTCCTGGGATATGTCCAGCAGTTTAGATCCCTGACTGTCTGGAGACGCAAGGTCAAATGCTGGGCTGGTCAGTGGCCTGGAGACACAGGCAGTCCTGAACCTCCGAGGGCCTCAGCCTCCTCTGCATGCCCTGGTCACTGGAGTCTGGCCCTTGTTCCTGGGCCTTACAGGATATGGCCTGGGGCGCAAAGGGGGCCTGAGGCAGGCAGGGGGCGGCAGGACCCTGGACAGTGGGCTTCAGGTACACGCAGCAGGGTTCTGGACGATGGGATTTAGGTACATGCAGCAGGGTTCTGGAGGCCAGTGCAAGGCCCGTCCAGCTGCCAACTGTTCCTTCCATGAACCTCTGTTTATTCAGCACAGACCATGTTCTGCCTGCTGGGCACTGCACTGGCGCAGCCGGTTCAAAGCACGCTCCCAGACCAGCAGCCGCAGCCTCACCTGGAGCTGCTGGAAATGCAGATTCTTGGGCCCCGCTCCACAACCTGCTGGACCAGAAACTCCAGAGGTGGGGCCAGGGACTCTTGAGTTTATTGGGCCTCACACAAGCTGAAGTTTGGGAACCACTGCTCTAGGTCAGTTTGCCAACAGACCAGTTTCTCAGATTTCCCAAGTTTACTGGTGTGCCAGAAGTTTGTCTCAAGTGAATAGATTCTTCTTAGTGACATTTATAGACTCTTCATTTGGTTGAAGGCCAAGGATCACAGAAGCATTTATTCTTCTTTTCTCACATGTTCCTGAATTCTTGAACATATTCTTCTTATGAATATTCAATGTTTTTATGAACTCTTATGGACATATTAAGACAGCCATTTCATATAAATGGAATCGTGTCTTAGGTGACCTTTTATGTCTGGCTTCTTTCACTTAACATAACGTTTACAAGGTTCAGCCACACGGAAGCATGAGTCAGTCCTTCATTCCTTTTATGGTCAATTAATAGCCCATGTTAAGGATATACCGCGTTTTCATTATCCATTCATCAGCTGATGGATTTGGGTGGTTTCCATTTTGGGGCTATCATGAATAACACCAATGGGAACATTTGTGTATAAGTTTTTGTGTGAACAAGTTTTCAGTTCTAGGAACATACTTAGGAGAGGAATTGCTGGGTTGTATGGTAATTCTAAGCTTAGCTTTTTAAGAAACTGCCAAACTGATTTCCCTCATGGATGCACCACTTTACATCCCCACCAGCAATATATGAGGGCTCCAATTTCTCCACATCCTTGTTATTTACTGTCTTTTAAAATAACCATCCTCATGGTGTTGATTTCTATTTCACTAATGGCCAGTGATGTTGCGCACCTTTTCATGTGCTTATTGCCATATGTATATCTTTGGAGAAATGTCTGTTCAGATTCTTTGCCCATTTAAAAAATTGGGCTGTCTTTTGTTGTTCCATTGTAAGAGTTCTCCATATGTTACGGGTACTAGTTCCTTATCAGAGAGATTATTTGCAAATATTTTCTTCCAACTGTGGATTGTCATTTCACCTTCTTGATAGTGTGCTTTGAAGCACAAATGTTTTTAATATTGATATAGTCTAATTTATCTGTTTTTTAAAATTTTGTTTCTTTGTGCTTTTGGCATCGTATCTAATAAATCATCACCTAATCCAAGGTCATGGAGATTTATGTCAGTGTTTTCACTTAAGAGTTTCATAGTTTTAACTTCAGTGTTTAGCACTATGATCCATTTTGAGTTAGTTTTTCTTTGTGGTATGAAGGGGTACAACTTCATTCTTTTGCATGCAAATATCCAGCTGTCTCAGCACCACTTATTGTAGACTGTCCTTTCCCTATTGCATTGTCTTGGCACCCTCATCAAAAATCAACTGACCATAAATGTAAGGGTTTGTTTCTAAACTTTCAATGCTATTTCATTCATCTATATGTCTCTCCTAGCCAGCACCACACAGTCTTGATTATTGTAGCCATATAGTAAAGTTGTGGTATCAGGAAATGTGAATCCTCTAACTTTGTTCTTTTTCAAGATTGTTTTGGATATTCTGAATCCCTTCAATTTCCACATGAATTTAAAGATCAGCTGTCAATTTTGGCAAAAAAGGCAGCTGGGATTTTGACAGGAATTGCAAAGAATCTGTAAATGACTTTGGGGAGTATTGCCATCTTTACAACATTAAGTATTCCAATCCACGAACCTGAAATGTCTTTCCATTCATTTGGGTCTTTAATTTCTTTCAGTGGTGTCTCATAGTTTTCAGTGTACAGGTCTTATACTTCCTTTGTTATCAACTTCTTCTTTATTACTTTATTATTTTTGATATTGTTTGATTATTCATTGCTAGTATATAGAAATGTAATTGACTTTTGTATATTAATATTGTATCCTGTAACCTTGCTGAACCCATTTATTAGCTCTTATGGTTTGTGAATTCTTTAGGGTTTTCTATATATATAGGGTTATGTCATCTATGAATAGACATAGTTTTACTTCTTACTTTCCAACCTGAATGCCTTTCATTTATTTTCCCTGACCAATTACCCTGGATAAAACCTCCCGTACAATTAATAGAAGTGGCAAAAGCAGGCACTCTTTCCTTGCTCTTGATCTTAGGGAGAAAGCTGCCAGTCTTTCACTATTATCTGAGGGTTTTTCTTTGATGCCCTTTACCAGTTTGGCAAAGTTTCCTTCTATTCTTAAGCTGTTCAGTGTGTTTTGTGATGAAGAAGGGTATTGGATTTTGTCCAATGCTTTTTCTGCATTTCTTGATAAGCGTGTGGGCTTTTTTCTTGATTCTATTAATATAATGTATTACATTGATTGATTTGTGTATATTTAGCCAATCTTGTATTCCTGGGATCCATTCTTAGTTGGTCATGGAAAATAAACTTTTTCACAGGATGTTATTTTTGGTTTGCCTGTATTTCTTGAGAACTTTGCACTTATATTCATAAAGGGCATGGTTCTGTAGTTCCCTTTTCTTGTGATGTCTTTGTGTGGTTTGGGCATCTAGATAATACTGGCCTCATGTAATGAGTTAGGAAGTGTTCTCTCCTCTTCTGTTTTTTGGAAGAGTTTATGAAAGGTTGGTGTTAATTCTGTAAACATTTAGTAAAATTTACCAGTGAAACCCTCTGATCCTGGGCTTTTGTTTGTGGGATTTTTTTTTTATTAGTAATTCAACATCTTGACTTGTGGGTCTGCTGAGATTTTATATTTCTTCTTGAGTCAATTTCAGGAATTTCTGTCTTTCTAGGAATTTGTCTATTTCTTACATGTTTTCTCATTTGTTAGGCTACATGTGTTCATAGTTCTCTTGTAATCCTTTCTTGTTTCTTTAAAGTCAGTAGTAATGTCCCCTCTTTCCTGTTTTTAGTAATTTGAGTCTTTTCTATTTTCTCCTTGGTCAGTCTAGCAAAAGCCTCGCCAGTTTTTGAGATCTTTTCAAAGATCACCTTACACCTTATTAGTTTATTAATATGCATCATCATCATATTCATGAAAATGGGATCCAGAAGCATATGATCATATATATTGGCTATATTACTGAGAACATATTAATATTAATTGACTATGCTTAAAAAGATATTCCTTAAAAAGATTTTGAGTAACGGAATACACTTATAGGTAAACAGATTTTTACTTACAATAGTTCTAGGAAAACTGAGGATTGCAGCAAGGAGACAGATAGACAGAGAGCATCCCTGTCCCCAGCCAGGAGACAGACAGCATCCCTGTCCCCAGCCAGTAGACAGACAGACAGCATCCCTGTCCCCAGCCAGTAGACAGACAGACAGCATCCCTGTCCTCAGCTGGGAGACAGGCAGACAGCATCCCTGTCCCCAGCCAGGAGACAGACAGACAGACAGCATCCCTGTCCCCAGCCAGTAGACAGACAGACAGCATCCCTGTCCTCAGCTGGGAGACAGGCAGACAGCATCCCTGTCCCCAGCCAGGAGACAGACAGACAGACAGCATCCCTGTCCCCAGCCAGGAGACAGACAGACAGACAGCATCCCTGTCCCCAGCCAGGAGACAGACAGACAGACAGCATCCCTGTCCCCAGCCAGGAGACAGACAGCATCCCTGTCCTCGGCCGGGAGACAGACAGACAGACAGCATCACTTTCCTCAGTCGGGAGACAGACAGATGTCATCCCTCTCCTTATCTGGAGATGACTGAACCTCCTTCCATGCGAAGCAGCATATTCCCTGATGGGGAAGCACTGCTGCCACAGGCATCCACAGTGGGTCACCCAGCCTAGCAAGGTGGCACTGAGAGGCTGCAGCCTACTGTGCCATCTCCACTGTTGCCCAAACCTTTCTGTCTGCCCATACACAGGATCTGGGGGTGCTGGGCAGCCAGCCAGCCTGGTGAGCCCCACAGGGGTGGGGCATGAGGCCAGGGCAGATGGCAGTGGGTGAGGTTGAGTGATCTGGACTTTCCTAGAGGGTTGGTGGGCTGGGTATCACCTTCCCACTTGTCCCCTCTTGCTTGGTACCCTCCAACTTTGGAGGGTAGGACATGGGAGCAGGAATGACACAAGACACTACCCTGGTGTAATTCTGCCCCGTTAGTACCCCCTGCCGTTCCCCATTCCACCATGCCCCTAGGAGGTAGGCAAGACCCAGGAAGGAAATTGAGTGCCAGAGGTGGGTCAAATCTGCCTAGATGGGTTGGCCAGCCCCCCAGTTCCACGCAAGTCCCTCTGATGTGGTGGCTACACCTCTCTCCTTATGCCCACAGTATTTGGAAACAGAGCCCTGGGCTCCAGCTGGCTTGGTGGGGAGAGGAGAAGCCCCCTGCAGAAGCTCTATGACCTGGACCAGGTAGGTGGACAGACCCCCAACCCAGGCATGCCCCCCTCCATCCCAGCCAGGAGCCTGACAGCAACAGTGCAGACCTGTTGGCATGAGACTGGACCCCACACTGGGGCATGGAAGGGCGTCCTCCCCAAACCCAGGCTTTGTCAGAGAGCATTGACAAGGGCAAATCTTGGGGGTAAGATGAGAGACCTGGGGTATCTACCTACCTATCTTCCCATCCATCAACAGTCTGAGGCCAGGCACAGTTCTTTGTGTTGCAGATAAAAAAGAGTCAAAACAGACCCTGTACCTGCCCTCAGGAAGTTCACAGTCTAGTGGGAGACCAAATCTCAGTGCATGCTGCAGTGGGGAGGTGTGCAGGGACCCCCAGCCCCGGTGTGATTCTCAAGCAGATGGACCAGGCGGTTCGCTGGCCCACACACCCAACTTCAGCTGGGGGCCTGCAGGGACCATGCACAATCCCAAACACACACATACAACTGTACCCTACCACCAAGAACCCCAGACTCTGGTTGTCTCTCTCTCTCTCTCTCTCACACACACACACACACACACGCAGAAGTACTTATTCAGACAGCATGTATTGAGCACCCACTGCATGCAGACTGTGTTCAGGATGCTGAGATCCAGCAGCAAGCAGGTCAGCCAGGTCCCTCCCCTAGTGGAGCCACCAGTTCAGCAGGGAAAGATGTCATCCGATCACCACCCACACTAATACTTAACTAATTCTGCTCTAAAGGGGAGTACGAGGTGCAACAAGAGCTCTCCTGAGAGGGTCCTAGTTTAGAAGTGGGAGAGGAACTCCTCTCCAGGGAAGCGACATTGGAGCTGAGACTGAAGAGCAAGAGTCAACAGGCAGACAGGAGGGGCCGAGCACCACAGGCAGAGGGAATAGCTGTGCCAAAGGTCTGGCGGGGAGTGGAGGACAGGAGAGGGAGCACTGGGGGAGCCTGGAGAAGTGGGGGCAGCACGCAGGCCCTGCATGTGTGCAAGGGTAGCAGGGAGTCATGGAGGTGATTTTCTTTTTCCCCCGGAGACAGAGTCTTGCTCTGTCTCCTAGGCTGGAGTGCAGCAATCTGCAAGCTCACTGCAAGCTCCGCCTCCCGGGTTTGAGCCATTCTCCTGCCTCAGCCTCCCGAGTAGCTGGGACTACAGGTGCCCGCCACCGCGCCCGGCTAATTTTTTGTATTTTTTGGTAGAGACAGGGTTTCACCGTGTTAGCCAGGATGGTCTCGATTTCCTGACTTCGTGATCCGCCTGCCTCGGCCTCCCAAAGTGCTGGGATTACAGGCGTGAGCCACCGCGCCGGCTGAGCCATGAAAGGTTTTAAGCCAGGAAGGACAGCATCAGATTTTCACTTTTGGGGTATCCCTTGGACTGCTGTGTAGAGAAAGATCAGGGTGGTGTTGGGTATGTGGTGCTCACCAGATCCTGAGGGCTGAGCCGAAGGGGCTTGTGGAGCTCATCTGGCCCAAGCCTACGAGCAGGTAGGGAGGCCTTCCTTCACAGAGAGAGTGACTGACTGGCCCTGGGCCACACAGCAGGCTGACGGTAGGACAGGCACTCAGTAGGGCACTGGGTTCACTAGCTCTGGTGGCTTCTGAGGGGCAGATGGCCCTACATGGCCTGAGGACCCTGTGACCATTGGGTGTCAAGTCCCTGGAGGCTTAGCACCTTGCGGCTGGAGAAAGAAAGTAATAAAAACCATCTGGCCAACAAGTGCTGATCTCGTGCCAAGCCCTTTAGTTCTGTGGACTCATTACGGCAACCCATAAGGTGGGGCCGTTATTGCCCCTGTTTACAGACAAGGAAACAGGCATGGGGAGGAGTGAGGACAGGAGCTGTAGGTGCAGCCCTGGACAGTGGACACAGGTCCAGCTTTAGAGTCCCAAGGGGCCTGAGTTGGAGCCCTGGCTTCCCCACTGAGCGCTGTGTGACCTCAGGCAACTCATTTCCCCTGAGCCTCAGTTTCGTCTTCTGTAAAATGGGTATTCATGGACCTATGAGCAACAGCAGTGGCAGCCCAAGCTGCTTCCAGCCATGAGGACAGTTAGTGCTCACTCTTGAGCTGCTCGGAGACCGGCAGCCCACGGTTCAGCAGCAGCCAGCGCGCACCATCGTCCTCTGGATGTTGACTTCTGTTACAGAGCTGGCCTCCTGGCTGTAAGAGACTGCCAGGGCTGCAGACACCTCACAGGAGGGCATCCCAGGCAGAAAATGAGTGGTAGGGTAAGGGTTTCCCCTGACTTTTCACCCTAAGGGAGTCTTTCTTGGGAGCCATCTGGCTAACTTCCCCTGATATCACCTCAGGCAGAGCCAGGCCACATCCCCCCGGAACCCCCGGACCCAGTGCTTCAGCAACAGCACACGAAGCTGAAGATCTGGCTCCCCGAGGCTGGGCTCACGCCCTGACACAGCCGGGGTCTGCTGGCAAGGAAGGAGGAAGACTGACAGGTGGCCGGATGGCCAACATTCCCTGCCACAAGTAATGTGTTGGTCATCTAAAAGCTGAAAGCAGACCTTGACTGTGGGCCCCGGGAGGAAAGCCTCTCCTGGCACCAGGTGGAGCTAGGCTTCTGAGGTCAGCCCTGACAGTGGAAACAGGGTCTCCCAGGTGTCCCCAGACCCCCACAGCATGGCTGGACCTGGCAGCCCTCCCATGGTGAGGGTGGCTAAGTGATTGTCTTATTTCACTTAGCATGATGTCCTCAGGGTTCACCATTTCTCAAAATGGTGAGATTTGTTAAATGTAAGCACATGACATGGCATTTGACACTACAGAAGGTTAGGTGCAGTGAAGAGTAGGTCTCCTTGTCCAGCACCTGTCCCCTCAGAGGCCACCAGGTTCCTGGGTGTCCTTCCAGACATGCTCTAGGTGTGTAAGTAGTGTACACTGGTTTGCCGTGTGCTTATGGTAACTTCTTCAGAATCTCACCTACAGGCATGTCTGTCCTATGTCTGTCTGCCTCTTTTCATTTTGAAAAATTCAAACGTATGCAAGAAGTAGGGTTCAGGGAAGCGCTGCCTTCCCACCTGGGATGATTGTGAAGCCAGTCCCAGGCTTGTGGATTCTGTGACTAAGTCTGAACAGATCTCTAAAAGAATAAGTCTCCCCCACCCACCCTTTGTGAAACGGTTTATATTTCCCTTTTTCAACATCAGTGTGAAGCCCTGTTCTGCCCTTTGGTTTTCTCACTTAGTGTATTTTAGACGTCTGTGGGATAGTTTTAAAGGCATCAGGAGCACAGTGTGCACATGTGTGCAGGAGTGTACACGGACACACACACACACCACAAACACACCACACACACTGCACACACACCACACACATACGCACCCCACACCACACACACCCCACATACCCCACACCATACACACACCACACACACTGCACACACACCACAGACATCACACACACACCACACATATACACCACACACACTGCACACATACCACACACACACCCCACACGACACACACCACCCCACACAACACAAACAACCACACACACCACACACACACTCCACACCACACACAGCACACACACACCCCACAGCACATAACACCACACACACCACACACCCCCCACATCATACACATGGCACACACCACAGACACCACACACCACACACATACACCACACATACCACACACATACCACACACACACCACACACACAACCTCCTACACTACACACACACCACACACACCCAACCACACACACCACACACACACACTCCACACCACACAGCACACACACGCCACACACCACGGACACCACACACCACAAACACACATACCACACACACACCACACACATCACACACACACCCCCAACCACACACACCACACACACTCCACACCACACAGCACACACACGCCACACACCACGGACACACCACAGACACCACACACCACAAACACACATACCACACACACCCCACACACATCACACACAAACACCCACACCACAGACACACCACACACACACGCCACACCACACACACACACATACCCCAAACCACCTATGCACCCCCACACCCCCTACACACCACACACACACCACACATACCACACAAGCACACTACACACACACCACAAACGCCACACATTCCCACAAACCACAGACATACCACCCACACGACACACACTACACACACACACCACATACGCCACACACAACTCACATTACACACACACCCCATACACACACCACACACACACAAACACTACACACACCAGACACAACTCACAACACACACACACCATGCACCACAGGTGTGCACCACACACACCACATACACACACACACCACCTACCAAAAGTGTGCACCACATGCACGCACCACATGCATACCAACACACACCACACACAAACACAAACACACCACACAAACACACCACACACACTCCATACACATACAACACAAACCACACACATACAACACACACACCACACACACGCACCATACATGCACCACACACACCACACACACACACCATACATGCACCACACACACCACACACACACACACACACAAATGCCACACACGCATGCCACACACACAACATATGCACACCACACATGCACTCCACACATGCACACCACACACCAGAGACATCATGCACCACAGGCACACACCACACGCGTGTACCACACACGCACACCACAGACACGCATTCCCACCCCACTGGCATCAGACCCTCCCAAGCAGGCCCTGGCTCTGGTGTTCCCCCAAAGGCTGCTTTGGCCTCCTCTGAAACGGAAACACCCTGAAGGCTTTTTTCTTAACTGAGAACTTACATACCATACAACTCACTCTTTCAAACCCTACAATTGGTTTTCAGCATTTTTACAAGGTTTTGTAATTATCACCGTTATCTAATTTTCAAACATTGTGATCACCCTCAAAAGCAGCCCAGTGTCTATCAGCAGCCCAGTGTCTATCAGCAGTCCTCTACAGTTCACTCAGGTTCTAGTTTCGTTCTCTCTGGATGTGACTGCTCTAGGGACCTCACTAAGTGGGACTGTTCGGCACTGGTCCTTTTGTGATTGTCCTATTCGCTTGGCATAACATCCTCCAGGTCAGCCCATGTGGCGGCATGTGTCAGCACCGCATTCCTTTTCATGGCTGAGTCATATTCCATTGCATGGATGGCTGCATACATTTGCCTACTCAGCACTGCACACTTGGGTTTTCTGGCTAATGTGAATACTGCTGCTATGAACTTCATGTACGAGTTTTTGCACGACGTATGTTTTTAGTTCCCTTGAGAATATGCCTAGGACCAGAATTGCTGAGTCACATGTTTACTGGTTTTGAGGAACTGCCAAACTGCTTTCCACAGCAACGGCACCCCTTTACACTCCCACCAGCAATGCGTGAAAGTTCCACTTTCTCCACATCCTCAGCAATTCATTATTGTCTTTTTAATTATATCCTGAAGGCTCTTAATGTAATTTTAAGAAGTTAAAACACTTTCTTTTATGAACTCTTACACAAAAAATCATAGGCAGGGGTGTTAATCTTGGAGGTAAGAATCCCGGGTGGGGCAGGAGGGATCTGAAGAAAGGGGAGCTGGAAGCATAGAAGCGCGCTGGCCTGGGTCTCTGCATGGCTCAGGCTGCGAGGGGCTGCGGACCTAATTCGGAGAGCGATGAGGCTGCTGGCCCACAGCAGGTGCTAGGTTAAAGCCAGTCGGTGTTCCTTTTCATAGGAGGGACAGGCTCAGAAGGGGCAGGCTTCCTGCCCCAGCTCTGAGATAAGAATTTGCTGGGGGAATAAAAGGAGTGAAGGTGCAAAGGAGAGTGCTGACTGGTAAGTACAGAATCAGCCCATTTGTTATTGAGACAAAGCAGCCCGACAGCCCACAAGCGGCTGCAGTTTTCAGTCGGGTGTGGAATTATAAACAGCGCTGCTTCTTACACAGTATCCTGCTTTTAGTAAACAGCGACGAGTCCATGTGTGCCCGTACTCACACGGAGCGCACTCTGATGCCACAATTCCTTATCACTCCTCCTCTGAGTGCCCCACAGCATACATACCCAGCGCGTCCTTCTCCCAGCCTCAGCAAGGTCAGAATCTGTTTCTCCCAAATCCGGGCCCAGGACAGATGCCCGGGCCCTAAACCACACAGTGATCAGTGGCAGCCCTGGGGTTCAAATTTGGGTGCCCGGCCCAGCTCCTGCTCCCAATTCTCGGGCGCATCCCGCCGGTGCAAAGCCAGAGTCAGGGAGCCCGCGCTGCCCTGACGCGTCCCCCTGTCTCGTCCCCTGTCGCCCGCAGGACCCGCGCTCTACCCTGGCGGAGGTGCACCGGCAGCGGCGCGACCTGCTGAGCAGCGCCTGTAGCCGCCACACACGCCGGCAGCGCCTGCTGCAGCCAGAGGACCTGCGGCACGTGCTGGTGGACGACGCGCATGGCCTGCTCTACTGCTACGTGCCCAAGGTGGCGTGCACCAACTGGAAGCGCGTGCTGCTGGCGCTGAGCGGACAAACCCGCGGCGACCCGCGCGCCATCCCCGCGCACGAGGCGCACGCGCCCGGCCGCCTGCCCTCGCTGGCAGACTTCAGCCCCGCTGAGATCAACCGGCGCCTACGTGCCTACTTGGCCTTCCTGTTCGTGCGAGAGCCCTTCGAGCGCTTGGCGTCCGCCTATCGCAACAAGCTCGCGCGCCCCTACAGCGCTGCCTTCCAGAGGCGCTACGGCACACGTATCGTTCAGCGCCTGCGGCCACACGCGCTCCCGGACGCCCGGGCCCGCGGCCACGACGTGCGCTTCGCAGAGTTCCTGGCTTATCTGCTGGACCCGCGCACGCGGCGCGACGAGCCCTTCAACGAGCACTGGGAGCGTGCGCACGCGCTCTGCCACCCTTGCCGCCTCCGCTACGACATCGTGGGCAAGTTCGAGACGCTGGCGGAGGACGCGGCCTTCGTGCTGGGCCTGGCGGGCGCACCCGGCCTGAGCTTCCCCGGACCACCGCGGCCCCGGGGAGCCGCCGCCTCCCGCGACCTGGCAGTGCGCCTCTTCCGGGACATCAGCCCCTTCTACCAACGGCGCCTCTTCGACCTCTACAAAATGGACTTCCTGCTCTTCAACTACTCCACCCCTTCTTACCTGCGGCTGCACTAGCGGTCCTGGAGGGCCTGTGGCCACACAGGGCAAGTGCCTTTCCGACAGGAACCCCGGGGAATGCAGGTGCTGCTGGCCCCAGGACCCCTCTTCAAGAGCCACTGCGTGCACTCACCTGGCCGCTGGCCCAGCGGGCGCAGGGCACACTTGGCCGGGCTTGGGGGCAGCCCATCTCCCGTGGCCCTGTATGCGTGTGCCTGCTTCGGCCTGTCGCTTGAGGCCTGCTTCCTTCACTTGCTCCAGCTGACAGGTACCTCTCCAGGCCCCGTAGATGGGCAAGGACTTGGTAACCAGGGTTTTAGGCTTTTAAAGGCCATTTTGGGGGGTCAGCCCTGCCCCTGAACCTGTTCATGGTGCATCAGAACAGAATGCTGACACCAGTGTCCGTGTGGCCCGAGCCTGTGCCCTCCCCACCTGGCCCACTCTGGCAAGGACAGGTGTGGCCAAGGACGAAAGCCCTCCCTTGGCTGGCCTCACGATGGGGCCATCCCGGGAGCCAGCTGGGAGCTGCCTTCCACTGCCATCGGGCCTCCTCTGCTCTCCCATGCGGCTGGCCCTGCCCAGGCACCGCCTTCGGTCTCAGTCTGGCAAGACGCTGGGTCTTCAGGCTCCATGCCAACAGAGCCCCTGGTGCAATGCAGTCACAGGTTTTATGGGACTTTGGTGAGCTGGGCAGTCATGGTTTTGAAATAAATGTATTTTGTTACTTTCTGATTTGTTGGAGTTTCTCTGCTTCATTGGACCGTTTTCTCTGGGAGCCTGCAGCTGTCTGATCTCGAACCACTCCGTCTCCAAGCCTTTGTTTCCCTGTTGCCAAGTGGCATAAGAAGATCAGATGAGAGTGCCCACAGACCCTGGGTACCTCCCAGTGGTGATAGGAGTGAGGGGCTACATGGGGTGTAAGGTGAAGAGGGTGCACTGTGTAGGGGGTGCTAAATTCTGGCACTGACAACTTGGAGAACATCTACTCTTTCACCCTGACCTGGGCCAAAGTCTGAAGCCCACACCAGCTCAGCCAGGCCTTGGGCCTTGTGCTGCCTCCCACCTTTGTGCGTGTGTGACTGTGAGTGTGCATGAGTGTGTGCGTATATGAGTGTGAGAGTGTGCATGTGTACATGTGTGTGAGTGTTGTGTGTGTGTGAATGTGTGAGTGTGGGTGTGTCTTGGGCCGTTTGTCTCTGAGCTCCCCCAGGGCTGTGTCCAGAGGCCCTGCCAGCAGGAATGGGGTGGCCAACTCCAGTGGACCTGGGAAGGGGCTGCTGCTGCCACTGGTTTCCCCATGAGGCCTCCCCTGGCCTGGGCCCTTCCCCCACAGGAGGGACACACAAAGCCCAAGGCCTTGCACCATTTCCAGGGCTCCCTGGGTGCTATGGTTTGAGTATTTGTCCCCTCCAAAACTCATGTTGAAATTTAATCCACAATGTGGCAGTCTTGAGAGGTGACCCAACCCTTAAGAGGCAATTGGGTCATGAGAGTTCTGCCCTCACGGATCAATTATTCCATAGGTAGATTAATGGATTGATGGTTTAATGGATTGATGAGTTGATGGATTAATGAGTCACCATGGGAGTGGGACCAGAAGCTTTATAAGAAGAGTAAATGAGACCCGTGGTAGTGTACTCAGCCCCCTCGCCACATGATGCTCTGCACCACCTCCGGACTCTCCAGAGCCCCCGTCAGCAAGAAGGCCCTCACCAGATGCAGTCCTTAATACTGGGACTTTTCAGCCTCCATAACTGTAAGAAGTAAATTTCTTTTCTTTATAAATTACCCAGTTTCAGGAGCTCTGTTATAAGCAACAGAAAAGGGACTAAGATACTGGGCCAGAGCCCTACTGTTTAGCGACAGGCTGAGGAGGGAAGGGTGGAGCCTTGGCCACACTGGGGCCACTGTCTTTGTGAGGGGCTCCCTGGCCCTCACATGCTCCCTTAGAGGCCACACACGCTGTGTTCTAGGCCACTGTGTGCAGTTGTTGCACACCCATTTCGATGACACATGCCTTTGTTTCCAGCTCACTCAGCTCCCACACAGCCCCCCGATGGGACCTGTTTGCTGAAACTGACACCAATCCGAATGTCTCATTCCCAGGTATCTCACAATTAGATGTGCCCTACCTCCTGCTGTCATGCCCTCAGCGTCTGGACATGCTGGCACTTGTCACATTCACAGTCCCTTGTATGGGCAGCTACTCCACTGCTCCCCCACTGATGTCCCCATGTGCAGACACTGCAGGCACCCAGTGTCACACAGGTGCCATATCCACCATATGCAGCCCTGCACCCTCTGCTGTGTGTGCAGGGCCACAGCCCAGGCCCTTGAGGACTGAGGGAGTTGGGGCAGCTCTGGAGGCTGTTCTTGGGGAACTCCACCTGCTCTGGCCTGTTTCCTCTCTGGCTGGTGCCAGAACATCTGTGTCCTCACAGATCACAGGATGACCACCCTGTGGGGTCCCAGCTGGATCACTAGAGGATCCAAGAAAGACAGAGTCACATGTGCAGAGCTGGACAACACAGGGGGCTGCCCAGGTGGTTCTCCATCTGGCACCTCCTTCAGGCAAGTGATTGTCAAAACCATAGTCCAGTGCCCACAGAGGGCTGATGGCACAAACCCAAGGTCACGCAACATTTTAACTTCCTTGACATTGTCTTTTACTTCCCAGGTTTTCAGTCTCTTCAAGTTGGACAGTGCTGGTGGGACACTTCCCAGGATGGGATGCCATTGCTGGTTTGGGTTACAGACTTCTTTAAAATAAGTGTAAGTGTTCTTTTGCTTTTTTTCTGGCTTTCATCGTCAGGAAAATGTTAACCAAAAAATTTTCTGCAGTTATGGGGTAGGGTTTGTTTGTTTGTTTTTTCCAGTTTTATTCTGTGTCTTTATCATCCAGGCAGCTTCCTGAGAGGGATGTTTCCAATGCTTAAAATTTAAAATAAATCCCTGGTTTCTCACAAACAGTGAGATTTCATGCATTATTGTTTTAGAAGCACAGCTGAATGCATCTGTGGGCTTCAGCAATGAGTACGACAGCAGCAGGGTGAAGGCAAGGCCCAGGGCTGCTGGGTGCAGCTCCAAATGTGTGTCACCAGCACACTCCAAGGGGTCAGTGGGCCCAGATCTCAGGATGCCGCCTTTCCCCATCATGCTGCGGCTCCTGCATGAGGAAAAAGGTGTGGCTGTCTGGGACAAAGGCTTGATGACAGCCGTTTAAGGTGTTTTCTGTTATCTAGAGGAAGGGGGCTCAGGGCCGGTGGGACAGATGCTCCATTGGGCCACTTGGAGCCCAGGACCCTTCTCTTCTGTTGCTCCCCAGTCTCTAGGGCCTGGCCCTTTTCCATGAGAGTGAGCCATTCACTTTTCAAGTATCCCAGTGTCGAAAGGAAAAGAAGGGCACCCAAGTTTGCTTTAAAGACACAAATTGGACGGTCCATTCCATTTCCAGTGCAATGCCATTGGCCTGAACCTACCTCACTGCCATTCTCAGTGGCAAGGGAGTCTGGGAAGTGACAGCCAGTTTTAGATTGGGTGCGTCAATGGGCTCCCTGGCATCTGCAACCCTCCCACAGGCTCCCTCTGACCACCAGGCCTCTTGGCCTGAGCACAGGAAGGTTGGGTGTGCAGGAGTTAGTGCCCCCTGGGAGCAGTCCTCACCCACATCTGATGGAAGTCGGGGGATAAATGCTTCAGATTTTATCCCTGCATGAAGGACACTGAGACACAATCTGCATGGTGCCCAAGATTTCCCCGCAGGGACTGGGTAGCAAATGCCCTCAGTGGCTGGTGTGGACTGAATTATGTTCTCCCGAGTCTTATGTGGAAGCCCTCACCCACAATGTGATGCTATTTGGCAATGGAGCCTTTGGGAGGTGAACAGATTGAGATGAGGTCATGAGGGTGGGGTCTCCATGGTGGGATTACTAATCCCACCTCAAAAGAAGAGCCACTGGAGAGTCCTCTCTGTCTCCCTCCCTGCCTCTCCCTCTCACACAGGGAGAAGGCAGCCATCTACAAGCCTGGAAGAGAGCCCCTATCAGGGAACCAAGGCATTCAGTACTTTCACCTTGGACGTCCAGCCTTCCTTGGAACTGGGAGAAAATAAACATTGTTTAACTACCCCCAGCCTATGGTGTTTGCTACGATGGTCCAGCAGACTAAGCTGTGGTTGCCAGCTGAAGAGCACATTCCTTGTCCGGTTCGGTCCCTTCCCTGTCTCCTCCCTACTTCTCTATGAGCTAACTGGGATTGTCCCTCACATAAACTACTCACACTCCATCCTTGCTTCCAGAGCTGGTTCTACAGGACTCAGGCAAAGAGGGAATCAACCATAATTCCACGACGACGTGCTGATTTGTTCCACTGGTCTTAAATGCTAGGTTAGTTTGGATTCTTTTCTGTGGCAATGCCGACGTGTTGTTGCATACCCTCCTCCTGCATGGGTGTGAGTGTGACTGCAGGTTAAACTGCTAGGAGAGTGTCCACACCCCCCAATGCACCTCCACCGTGCCTTTTCCTTTCCACCTGTGGATCTGTGTTTGACTGTAACTGCTCACAGCCTAAGGGCACATGGGGACCCAGATGGCCTCACTGAGAGGCAGGGCACAGGGCCTGTGTTGCTATCTGGGCCGCTGCATGAGCATTTCTAAAGTTTATGGAGTAGCTGTGCTTAGAGAGTATTGCTGCACCATCCCTCTCCTGTTAAACATTTCAGCTGTCGCCGGCTCCTCGGCAAGGGCTTCCATGTGGTGCAGCTTCCTGGGGGCTCATTTTCTTCTTTGTAGGAATAACATGCACATAAACCTAAACTTGGTGCACAAGGCAGGGGCTGCAAACACATCCTGGCTGCCCTCAGATTCTTCCTTTAAACGCCCAGGAGAGGAGGCATGAATTAAAGACCATGTATGTTTTTATAATTGACTCTGGATTCAGGTAATGAGTTACCAACCTTTTCTACAAACCACCAACAGCTTGCTATCACGAGTGGAAGAGCAGGCAGCCAGCACCTCCGCCTGCTCCAGCCCCAAAAACTCTGGACCCTGCATGTAGTGTAGATGTGGACCAGAGGGAACCTGGAGAGGCTGGGAACTATCTGGAAAATGGTCTGGCACGAGCTGGTAAAGGAGGCGCTCAGGAGCCCTCTGACCAACCAACCAGCAAATCCTATCCTGGGTGGGGGAGGGGAGAGAGTACACCCCAGGGGACGGGGACAGGAACACCTAGAGCAGCAGCACCCACAGTACCACAAAGTGGAAACAACCCAGACATCTACCCAAAAGAGAATGGACACATCATGGAATGAGAAACAGTGGAAAATGAAGGAACTACAGCGGTAGCATCATCATCCCATGACTCTTAGCAACTTGCTGTGGAGGGGAAAAGTTGCACGGAGTTTGAGACCATCTTACATAACTGAAAAAAGCAAACAATGTGTTATTTCAAGGAGTGCAGTGGCGTGATCTCAGCTCACTGCAAACTCCACCCCTTGGGTTCAAACCATTCTCTTGCCTCAGCCTCCGGAGTAGCTGGGATCACAGGTGTGCGCCACCATGCCCAGCTAATTTTTGTATTTTTAGTAGAGACGGGGTTTCACCATGTTGCCCAGGCTGATCTCGAACTCCTGGGCTCAAGTGATCCACTTGCCCTCAGCCTCCCAAAGTGTTGGGATTATAGGCGTGAGCCACCACGTCTGGCCAAGATATAACGTTTTTAAAGCAGGGAGAAAGATGTGGTGACCTGATGGGCAGGGAAGGAGGAACTCAGTAGCGGGGGGAAGTGGGGGAAGGAGCACCCAGCAGGGGTAAGGGTGGGTCTCTTTCCCTGGTTATGCTGCATGGTAGACATGCGTTGCTGTATTTTGCTGATATCAAACAGCGCATACATTATACCTCAAGAGACAACCTCCTCAAGGCTTATACAGTCCAAATGAAGATCAACCTGGCTCCCATCCCCACAGGAGGGCACCTAGAGGTCTCTGCTTCCTGCAGGTCTGCGGGTGCTGCTGGAAGCTGTACTCCACCCCCAGGCAAATGCTGTGAGTCCCCTGCATGAACCTGAGGCCCCACCTGGAGAAGGAGCCTGGAGTCTTGGCTGGGGCGGCACAGTGCGGCCTGGTTGCCCTTCCCCGAACACCACAGATGTGACTCCAGGGTCTGCTTCTTGCAGGTTAGGAACCCATTCCTGTCCTGCCCCCAGGGCCTGGGAAGCCAACCCCCTTCAATCTTTTCATCATAAGGGTCCTCACTCCATCTCCTTTCTGAGACAATAAAGCCACTTGCCCACCCCACTTAGTGGGGTCCCCCACCCCACTCCCTCTCCAGGGAGAGGGCTGCAATTAGTGTCCTGATTTTATTTACCCTCCCAAGGACTCCAAGGTGACTTTCTAGCCCCTCTCTGTAGAACGCAGTGGGGGACCCTTAAATCTTCAGCAGGCACCCCGCTTCCCAGTGCTGCTGTCTTGCTTTCCAAAGGCATCACCAGCCTCCAGTAGCCACACCATGCGCCTTACATTACTGATGTTGTAATACAGGAATACGGCATTAGGCTTATATATGACAACCCATAAAATGGTGTGCCTCATTCTCGGTGCTGTCCCCAGGGTCCCCATTCTCCTCCTCAAAGGTAATGATTGCTGCCTGCTCCTCATCCACAGCACACACACACACACACACACACACGTTTTTAGTACACACAAGATGGCAGCATATCAGACACACTCTTCTGCTGTGCTCTTTAACAAAAATTGTAATAGACCTGTAGATCATTCAGGTCAGTCTATAAAGAGCTGCCTCTACATTTGAATGGCTGCCTAAGATTTCTGGGAGTAGCTGTATAATTTAGCAGCTTCCTGTCAGTGTTTAGGAAATGGTTTAGCTGCTTTCCAATCCTTCGCTGTTTCCAGCAGTACCGGAGTTAACAGCATTTACTTACTTGTGTGAGTGTACATTTGGGATAAAGTCCTAGAAGTGACATTCACACTCTTTAATTCTGACACCAACTCTGCAAGATTAAACATTATTACAACAATTTTAGAGATGAGTAAATGAAGGCTCAGAGAGGCAAAGTGATCATTCCAACTGGAAGTGGGGTGGGAACCCGAAGTTTATTAGCTTGGCGTAGCTTTTTGGGGGGACCGCAAAGTTCTCCTGGTCTGTGATGGCCATGAAGGCTGATTGCTTCACTGAAGTCTCTGTGGCCATTGCCCAGAGCCTGCCAAGGAGAAGGTGGCCAACAAGGAGGCCACACAGAGCCCAGGCTCTAGGAGCGGCCCCTGGATGGCCCTTTCGCCTCGCTGGTCTGGGGGCCGGTAGCCTTAGTGTGCGGGGCAGACAGCAGGAAGGCGAGTTGTCTGGGGAAGCGGCGACTCAGCAACTTGAGTTCCCAAAGGTTGCACAGTGGAGGTGGCGGTGGTGCTGGTAGTGGTGCCGGGCGGGAGCTGGACGGTGATATAAAATCTGAAGCCCCGAGCCTAGAGAAGCCACACAGAGCCACACCTGGCCTTCAGGATCCCTGCTGGCTGCAGCCATTGCAGCCCAGAGAAGTCAGTCTGGGCCACATCTGGGAGGGCTCCAACCAACATCTGCTCCCAACCAGGCTCGGCCTGGCCCCTCCACAACGAGCGGCTGCCGCCTGGTGTCCCAGGAAGCCATGGGGGCACCGCACACTCACGCACCCACGCAGGATCCTCCAGCCGCCCGACATCCAAGCCAGAATCTAGAAGCCCCCCAGTGCCTCCTGGGCCCCTGGCCCATAAGTGGCTGGGGACATGGTCTCGAGTCCTGCCCATCCACTAAGAGAGCTTTATTTTTAGCACCTGCTGGAGGCATACCTCTCTGCCACGCCAACCTGAGTGTGAGGCCACCCTCTCTCTCCCACTCCTTCCAGCCCATCTCCCAGCAGCTACATGCAGGACCCAGCATGCCACCCGCAGGCTTGACTGTCTCCGCAGCTCCCCCACAGGACGGGTGGGAAAGCTCCCTTCTGCCTGCTCCCCACTGTTTTGCTGCCATTTGACCAAGGCTGACACCCACAGCCCCTTCCCTGGCTCTTGTGCTCATGGGCCTGGCTGTAGAGATGTGGAAACTCACCAATGCTCACTCCTCCAGCCCTGGCATGGGACCGACTCCCCACTGTGACTGGGCCCTGGGAGCTGCTCAGTCCCTGGTCAATTCTCTCTCCCCCGTCTCTGCTCCGCACACTGCCCCCTTCAGCTCCCTGACATGTTCCCAACAGCAGGCGTTCGGCCCCAGGCCTCTGCTCTGACCCCACAGCTGCCCCTGACTCTAAGCCACTCCATTTTGCATGGGTAGAATCTGAGACCAGGAACATCTGAGCTCTCAGAACCCAGCCCTGGCCGCTAAGCCCCATCGCTTCAGCTTGGAGATGTGGGGCAAAAGCCTAGGGATCTGATGCGCCTATAGCCAAACTACGGAGAGTGACTGACACCCGGCAAAGGCCAGGGCCGTTTGCTCTGTTTGTGTGCTAAGTGTGCGTGTGCGTCTGTTCTTCGTGTGTGTGTGTGTGTGTGTGTGTGTGTGTGTGTGTGTGTGTGGTGCTACTGTCTCTCCAGGTGTCCGTTCAGGGGAGCTCATGTGCGTCCTTATGGCTGGCCAGAGTTGACATGCAGTATAGTAAACAATGGGCACAGAAAAGTCAACACAGACCCCACCTTGCCCCTGACATTAACTGGAGTGGGCTGAGGGCTGGGGCATTCAGGCGGCTAGGGATCCTGCACCGCTAGAGGAGGAAGCCCTTCAGTGCCACACAGCTGTTCCCCGTGCCGTGTATGACTGAGGAGCCACCGGGTCAGAAGCTCTGTTTCTTTCTCCACATCTATTTAGGAGGGAGTAGGTGTACCTGAGGGTCTGCTTTTCTGTGACTGGATCTTTCCAAAGGTGTCCAGGGTTTCCTTGAGCGCTCCATGCATGGGGTGACGAAGGGGCATGAGAGTTTGTGCTATGGTCAGCTGAGGGCCTCCCAGTGCAGAGGTCCCAGCCAGGGCCTCTACCCTTGCAGTATAGCATTAGCCGGCCTAGTGCAGCTGCACTGAGCACAGAAGCTCCCAGCTCCTTCCCTTGCTGCTCTCCCATGTGGAGGACTTGGCTAAGCTCCTGCTGCACCGAGGCCAGTTTCTCCACCACTCGTGCAACTAGGCCTGCCCCCGCTGGCCTGGGCCCTGCCCAGGGAAGGTTCTGTGTGCCCTTGTCTGGATGCTGCCTGGTTGTGGGAACAATCACCAGGCTTTAGCGTCCCCTTTCTCTGCCTCAGTTTCCTCAGCTTTAAAGTGGCACATGCTGGGAGGATGACGTGAACTTCTGCATGCAAAACCGGGGGACAGAAGGCCAGGCAGCATGCACACAGCCAGTGGGGACAGTGGCATCAGGGCAGGCACTTACCCTCGGACTGGGATGGACCTCGTTGGCACCAACCTCTTCTGCAGAGGCAGCTCCACTGTGTTCAAGTTGTTTGTGACCTCCCAGGGATGCAGGGGCTCAGGGTCAGGCTCTGTCAGCCCCGAGAACCTGCAACAGCACTTGGAGTGTCAACATGTCCACCAGCTACCAGCCTCCTGAAGTAGCTCTCACTCATCTGGAACTTTCCATCTGCCAGGCACTGTTCTAAGTGCTTCACAAATATTAGCCCATATGTCATCTCATAAGCGTGCTGTGAGGCAGTTGTTACTCACACTTTACAGACAAGGAAACTGAGGCACAGAGGTTCCACAGCCAGGAGGTGGGAGCTAAGCTGCAGCCACCTCCAGAGCCTTGTCATGGCCACAGCAGCCAAATGGTCCAGGGCACCTGAGCCCCCGGGTGCTGGCCTCCCCTGTTTTCAACCTGAGGCCACCCTGTGTGGTGTGTACTTGCCACCTGGGCCTCATGTGAAAGTGTCTGCGGTGGGGGACATAATGGGGTGCAAGGCTATGGCTAGAGTGTCCTGGGGCAAGGACAAGGACAGGTGCTCAGCTGGCCTGGCACAGGGGCACAGCATGGAGCTTATCATCCCCACCTCCCTCCAGCGTTGCTGCCCAGGTGGTATCCAGTGGTCCCTGTGGGCAGCCCTGCCAAGCATCCAGGGCCACCGCTGGGTGCACAACACCTGTTTCTGGGCTGGGGGGTGAGCATGGAGTGGGAAGCTTGAGGTTGCAGGGTGCCAAGCTGAGCCCCAGTGCCAGGTGCTGCCTGCTGTCCTGCAGGTGGGAGGCCAGCTGCCCTGCGCCCTGGGCATTGCTGACGAGGTTTCCCTTGTGTTTGTTTTGCCTGTTGGGCCTGTGGCTCTGTCCTTATGTGGAGTGCCCCATGGAGACTTGGCCCAGGCCCCCCTCGGGCAGCCTGTTATCCTGGCTAGTTGCGAGTCCCAGGAGCTCACAAACAATGGGTGCCCAGCACACCAATTCCAACACAGCTCAGGAGGGGCAGTCGTCTATGGCCATGCTCCTAGGGTGACTTGGGGAAGTAGCTGGCCTGGGCTCTGGGATGACCCAAGGAGACCTGAGCCCACCCAGAGACCCCTCAGCTTAGGCTGTGATGGGGGTAATGAAGGCAGACCCCAGACTGTCAGCTGGGCAAGGGCTGCTGAGGGGCTCCCTGTGGATAAACCCCCTCCCAGCTGCAGCCCCACAGAATGCATTTGGGTTCCCAGGATGCTGGGGTGACCTGGGGGAGGAAAGGCTTGGCTCCAGAGGTGTGAGCATCCTGCACCTGTACGGAAACTTCTTGGCAAAATTCTCCTGGGCCTGGATCCTCCACTTCTTACCCAGGTGAGACTTCTTGCGGGCATTGGAGTCCATCACTGAGCAGGTTAAGCTGTGGCACACCTCTCGTCCATGGCTGGAAGACAGGAGGAGACGTCAGAGGGGGCAGGAGTGGTGGGGGGCAGAAGGCAGAGGGACAGAGCAGCCCAGCGGGGCTGGGGATGCCTGCGGACCGCCAAATGACCTGCATCACTGCCCTGTGCATGCACCGCTCTGTGCAATTTTCTCCTGTATGTAGCTGATGATGGTGGTGTAGTGACCACCATAGTCAAGGTCCTCACCAGATGCTCTCCCCAAGGCTCTCTCACGCTTACCCCTCCACAGCCACACCTGTCCACAGCCCGGTTCCCCAACCCTGCAGCCACTCATCTGTCCTCATCATGGGTCAGCCATGTGATTTCAGGAGCGCTATGCAGAGGAACTGCACACGAGGTGTCTTTCTGAGACTGGCTCCTTCTCATCCTGCTTTCCTCCAGATCTGCCCAAACTCCACCCACAGTCTGTCCCTCCTGCTGCTGAGCACTGTTCCAGGGCGCAGTTGTGCAGCTCCTCAGGCCTCCAGCTTGGGGCACTTACAAAGCCACTATTAATATTCAGATGCAAGTTTCTGCATGAAAATAAGTCTTCATTTCTCTGAGATACATTGCTGGGTCATATGGTAAGTCCATGTCTAGTTTTTTGTTTGTTTTGAGACAAGGTCTTGATCTGCTGCCCAGGCTGGAGTGCAGTGGTGTGATCATGGCTCACTGCTGCCTCAACCTCCTGGGCTCAAGTGATCTTCCCACCTCAGCCTCCCGAGTAGCTGGGCGCACAGGCATGTGCTACTATGCCCCACTAATTATTTATTTTTGTAGAAATGGGGTCTCACTATATTTCCCAGCCTGTACATATATTTTGTTTGTTTGTTTTTGTTTGTTTTTTGAGACGAAGTCTCGCTCTTGTCCCCAGGCTGGAGTACAATGGTACGATCTTGGCTTACCGCAACCTCCGCCTCCCAGGTTCAAACGATTCTCCTGCCTCAGCCTCTTGAGTAGCTGGGATTACAGGCGCCTGCCACCATGCCTGGCTAATTTTTGTATTTTTAGTAGAGACGGGGTTTCACCACGTTGGGCAGGCTGGTCTCGAACTCCTGACCTCAGGTCATCTACCCGCCTCGGCCTCCCAAAGTGTTGGGATTATAGGCGTGAGCTACCGTGCCCGGCCTTGCTGTACATACATTTTAAAGCACCCTAGGTGAGCAGAGTTAGGTGAGCATTGAGACTAGTGGAGGGTAAGGTCTGACCCCTGGTGTCCTTTGTGGCAGCATGTCACCTGCTCCTTCTCACTGGTGTGTCGTCATGGTAGCTACCTCAGCCAGCATGCCACCACACGGACCCTGAAGCATGCTATGACAATGCCGACTGCCTGCCAGTTTCCCCAGGCGCCACATTTGGTCCCCTGAGCGGGCGAGTAAAGCCCTGGTCGGGGAGGGGGGCTGATACCTGGTCTGGGGGGCTGGGTCCTTGTGGCCCAGCCAGGTAGTGGCCTTTCTCTGGGACCAGCACTGTCCAGTAGAACTTTCTGAGATGATGGAAATGCCCTAGGTCCATGCTGTCCGAGATGGCCGCTGCTGGCTACATGAGGCCATTGGCTGAGCATGACTGAGGGACTGAAGAGTTTTCGGTTGTATTTAATTCTAATAACTGTGAACAGCTAGCTGCACGTGGCTAGTGCCTGCTGCATTGGACAGCACAGCTCTGGCCACTCGGAGGAAGTCTGCTGCTTCCCCAGGTGTGGTTCTAGTGACAAGCTTGTGCTTCACCAGAACCCTAGGCCTGAGTGTTTGGCTCCTGTCCTCTCTCAGGAGGGCCAGCCCTTTGGTCAAGGTGACCCCTGATGCGTGGTTCCCTGGCTGCTGGGGGTTCTCAGTCGGCCTTGCTGTGCTGAAGCCCCATGTGTATGACACTGAGGAGGCATCACCCCTACCAGAGCAGCCTGCCCATGAAGAGGAGAGATGGGCAGCCTTTGGGGCCATCGCTGTGTGGGGCCATCGCTGTGCCAGGACGGTGCAGTTGCAGGAGACCTGACACGGTGCAGGCTACACCCTGCTCCAGCATGGTGGGTGCTCTACAGCCGGGGTCTCCAACCCCTGGGCCACGGACCAGTACCAGCAGCCTGTTCGGAACTGGGTCACACAGCAGGAGGTGGGTGGCAGGTGAGTGAGCATTGTCACCTGAGCTCCACCTCCTGTCAGATCAGCGGCGGCATTAGATTCTCATAGGAGTGCAGACCCCATTGTGAACTGAGCATGTGGGGGACGTAGGCTGCACACTCCTTATGAGAATCCAGCTCCTCCCTGATGATCTGAGGTGGAACACTTTCATCCTAAACCAGCCACCACCACTCACCACGGTGTCCATGGAAATATTATCTTCCATGAAACCGTGGTGCCAAAAAGGTTAGGGACCACTGCTCTAGAGCCACCCCTGGCCTCAAAGACCCTCTAACACCCTTGCCAGCCACCCCCTGCCTCCCTGCTCCACAACCCTGCCCCTCCAGGGCTGAGCCGGCTTTGTCTCCGCAGGCTCCCCCAGCCCCACTGCCCTCTGGGAGGTTCCTTGATGGATAGGGCCATTCAGTGTGCCTTACAGGGGCAGGGGTGTGGCCCTGAGGAATGTCTGCCTCCTCCCACATCCCGTGGACAGCACTGGGACAGCCCAGCTCACAGGCCTGCCGGTCCCTCCACACCACACCCTGTCCCATCCTACCTGGTGCTCCACCGAAGGCCCTCAGCCCAGAGGACCATGTGCTATTTTGGTGGGGATGCCTCAGGAGCAGGGAGCCTGCGTGCCAGTGAGGACCTGGCTTCAGCCAGAGATTTGCAGCAGATGTTGTCAGGGACCCATGCACAGCCCCTCCGCCCTCACCTGCATACCTGGAGGCCAGGCCTTTGACTCCCTCTGGCTGTAGAGACACACTAGGCCATGCACAGAGAGTGAGAGCTGCCCCTCACCAATGAGGGCAGGGAATTGGATAAATACCCTAGCTCCCTTGCCCCTCTGTGGGGGCAGCTCGGAGTTATGCTCTGCACAGTCACTCACAGCAGCCTGTGGGGGTTGGCTGAGCTGCAGCCGCGGAGAGGACACACCCCAGAGTGCATCCTCTCCTCCCCTTCCCTCCCCACATCCCACTTTCCTCTCAGCGCCTCCTGGTTGCAGCTCCCAAGTGCAGCTCTGCACTCGCACCTGTCCAGGGCCTGCTTGGGGACTGCACATCTACACACCCATGCCCAGCAACTGCTGCAAACGCCCCAGCCTCAGAGGACCCAGGCTGGGTCCCCCCTGAGAAGGAGGTCGCTAAGCAGGTCTCCCACCTCGCCTCACTGACTGCTGTTCCCAAATCTGGGATTCTGGGGCCCCCCAAAAGCCGGTGGGCTTGGGCAAGCCTGCTCGGCAGTGATTCCATAATGTGCCATGCTGCTCATCCATCCCTCTGAGGGTGGGGTACGGGGCCAGCTAGAAGGCTGCCTGCTGCCAAGTGTGGAATGGCTCAAGGTCCTAGACAGGAGGCTACACACTGGACACTGAACACAGGCCCCCAGGACCATGGCCATGGCATGGGAGACCAGCCTGTCTGTGAGCCAGAACACACCCATCCACCTACCGCCTCCGCACCCTGTCTCGGACTCTGGAAGATCAGCCATCCAGAGGGCCTTTGCCCTGGCCCAGAAATACTGCCAGCCCTGCTCATGACCTGTCCCCTGCCTGCACCAAGAAGTCCCTGGGCCCTGAAGGGTGGGCTTCCCCACTGACTTGTCCACTAGCCTAGTACAGGGTGCAGCTTTCTACCCCAGTGCTGGCTAAAGGGGGTCTTGGTGGCCCCGGCCCCGCAGCCCTGGCTGTCCTGAGGACTCTGGGATGCCTTCGCTGGGCCTAAGCCCACAGTCCTGCAGCCACAGCCTGGGCCAGGCCCCAGCTCAGCCCCTTCCTTTTAGGTGCACTTGGGCAAGTCACCTCCAGCCTAGGCTCAACCCTGAGGAGTGCGCGGCACGGGGAAGCCCGGGCCAGGACAGGCAGCAGGGCCACAGTGGGAGGCTGCAGAATGGTGCCTGTGGCCTCTGCTAAGTGTCTGCTACATTCTATGCATAACCTCACTTCATTTATTTTTCTACCTGATGGAGAACATATTATGCTAACCTCCATAATTCAGGTGAGGAAACTGAGGCTCTGGGAAGTTAACTGATTTGCCTGCATTCACACAGTGAGTAGGGGAAGAGGTTCAGGATGGGTGGCCTGTGCTCCTCCTGCTGGGCCACGCAGCCTTAGACAGTCCTGGACCAGGGAAGCAGCATTACCACAGGAACTGAGGGATCAAGGGAGGCAGGAGCGCTCCTCAGGCCCATCCCATACCCTCCCACCTGACCCCTAGATCATGGGGATGACCCTGTAAGCTGACTGCTGAATCTGCCCCCCAGGGGCAGGGCTGCTGCAGAGTCCAGGCTGCCTTCTGCCATCATGACCCCGTCCCAGGCTCTTCACCACCCTGTTGTTGCTTCCCAAGTCCCTAACCGACTTGGGACTGTCCTTTCCAGCCACGCAGGCTGCCAGCGCTCACCAGGCAACTGCCTTGAATCCTGGCAGTGATGATGATGAGGTGTGATCAGAGCGTCCTGGAACTGCTTCTGCCCAGCAAGATGCTGGTGTGAGAGCCGCTGTGGCCCCCGAGGCTGGCAGGGCCCTGGCTAGAGCCCTCTCTGGGGAGACCCAGTCCAGGTTATGCCCGGAGCTTCCAGCCAGAAAGGACAAGCTGCAGGACCCCGTGGGCTGGCTTATGTGACGCCAGGTGGACTGAAGCTGGCCATGGTCCCAGCTGCCACCCTACCACAGGAACAGCAGCCCCAGGGCCCCTGGACAGGCAGTGCCTATAAGCCCATTGCGAGGTCATAAGTCCTTGAGGTCACAATTGGTGACATCACAGCTGCTGACCCATGAGGCTCAGACTCTAGCCTGAAGCCCCTCTGGCCCAGGGAGTGGCTGCAAAGTCAGCAGCACATGGGCCAGGCCTGGCCAGCCTCTCAGCTCCAAGCACCCAGACAGAAGCATCCACATCTGCACTCTTCATAGCAGAGACCTCTCCCCGTTCAGGTTCTGCAAACAGAAGAGATGCCCAGAATTAGGTAAAGACTCACTGAGGCTGCAGAAAAGCTGTTTCTGTGGAGAAGTGGACACCAGCTTGCAGGGGGTTGAGGAAGGAGAAGGCAGTGAAGGAGCTGAACTGGAAGTGGCTCGGCTGTTCACCTGTGCCACTGTCCACTGTACCCTATGACTTTTCACTTATGAGTGCTGTTCACCTGTGCCACTGTCTGCTATACCCTACGGCTTTTTACTTATTAGTGATAACAGGGTTTTTATGGATTATTTAGGGTTTTCTATATGCTATCTGTGAGCAGAGGCAATTTCACTTCTTCCTTTCCAATTCAAGTGCTTTATATTTCCTTTTCTTGCTTAATGGCTCTGGCCTGAACTTTCAGTACTGTGTTAAATAGAACTGGGGAAGGTGGGCATCCTTGTCTCCTTCTTGATCTTAGAGAAAAGGTTTTCCAGTTTTTCACTATACAGTACGGTGTTGGCTGTGGGATTTTTGTATATATTGCCTTTATCATGTTAAGGAGTTGAGTGTTTTTATCATGAAAGAGTGTTCGATTTTGTCAAGCATGTTTTCCACATCAATTGAAATGATCATGTCTTTTCCTCCTTATTCTAAAAACGTAGTGTAGTACATTGATATTTTCATTATGTAACAATAATCCTTACATTCTAGGGATAAATCTTACTTGGTAATAGTGTGTAACACTTCTAATACACTGATGAATTTCATTTACTAATATTTCATTGAGGATTTTTGCATGTCTATTCACAAGGGATATTGGCCCCTAGTTTTCTTTTCTGGTAGTGTCTTTGTCTGGCTTTGGTATTAGGGCAATGCTGGCCTCACAGAATGAGTTAGGAAATGGTCCCACCTCTTTAACTTTTAGAAAAACTTTAAAAAACATTTATATACGTTTTTTAGTAAGTGTTTGTTAGAATTCATGAGTGATATCATGTGGCACAGGGCTTTTCTTCATTACTGATTCAATCTCTTTACTAGTTACGAGTCTATTCATATTTTCTATTTCTCCATGATTCAGTCTTGTTTTGTTTTGTTTTTTTCTAGAAATTTGTCCATTTCATCTAGGTTATCCAATTTGTTGGCATGACATTTTTTGGAGTATTCTCTCATAATCCTTTTAATTTCTGTATGGTCAGTAGTAATATCTCCCACTTTCCTTTCTTATTTTACTAATTTGAGTCTTTTCTTTCCTTAGTCAATCTAGCTAAAGTTTTGTTAATTTTGATCACTTCAAAAATCACCTTTCGGTTTTGTTGATTTTCTCCATTGTTTTTCCATTCTCTACTTGATTTATCTTTACTCTAACCTTTATTATTTCCTTACTTCTGCTAGCTTTAGATTTAGTCTGCTCTTTGTTTTCTAATTCCTTAAATTGTGTAGTTAGATCATTAATTTGGGATCCTTCTTATTTTTAAGATGTACATTAATAGCTATAAGTTTCCCTTTTAGCACTGCTTTCCCTTCATACCATAACATTTGGTATGTTGAGTTTTTCTTTTAATTCATATCAAAGAATTTTCTTTTTTTCTTTCTCTTTCTTTTCTTTTCTTTTTTGTTTTTTTTCTTTGAGACAGTCTCACTCTCTCGCACAGGATGGAGTGCAGTTAGCGCAATCTCGGCTCACTGCAACCTCTGTCTCTTGAGTTCAAGTGATTCTCATGCCTCAGCCTCCCGAGTAGCTGGAATACAGGCAGGTGCCACAATGCCTGGCTAATTTTTGCATTTTTGGTAAAGACTTGGTTTCACCATGCTGGCCAAGCTGGTCTCAAACTCCTGGCATCAAGTAATCAACCCATCTCAGACTCCCAAAGTGCTGGGATTACACGAGTGAGCCACCGTGCCTGGCCTAATTCATATCAAGGCATTTTCTAAATTCCCTTGTGGATTTATTCTTTGACCTACTGGTTGCATAAAGTGTGTTATTTAATAGGCAAATACTGTAAATTTTCCAGTTTTCCTTCTGTCATGGATTTCTAGTGATTCCATTGTGATAAAAAATATACTTAGGCTTATTAAGATTTATCTTATGGCCTAATATGTCCTGGAGAACATCCCGTGTACATTTAAGAAGAATGTATATTTTGCTATTGTTGGGTTTAGTTTTAATATATATAATATAATCTGTTAGGTCGAATTGGTTTAGAGTGTTGTTCAAGTGCTCTATTTCTTTTTCTTTTCTTTTCTTTCTTTTTTTTTTTTTTTTTTTTTTGAGACAGAGTCTCACTCTGTCACCCAAGCTGGAGTGCAGTGGTGTGATCTCAGCTCACTGCAACCTCCATCTCCCAAGTTCAAGCAATTCTCCTGCCTCAGCTTCCAAGTAGCTGGGACTACAGTCATCCACCACCATGCCCAGCTAATTTTTGTATTTTTAGTAGAGACAGGGTTTCACTATGTTGGCCCAAGCTGGTCTCGAACTTCTGACCTCAGGTGATCTGCCCACCTAAGCCTCCAAAGTGCTGGATTACAGGCATGACCACCACACCCAGCCTCTATTTCTTTATTGATCTTCTTCTGTCTGGTTCTATTGATTATTGAAATTTGGGTATTAAAATCTCCATCTATTATTGCAGAACTATTTCTTCCTTCAATTTTATCATTTTTGCTTCATATTTTTGGGGGTTCCATTGTTAGGTGCATATATGTTTATGATAGCTATATTATTTTGAATGGATCAACCCTTTATCAATGTTTAATGTTCTTTGTCTCTTGTAACCTTTTTGGCTTAAAGTCTATTTGTCCAACAATAACATATCAATCCAAGCTCTCTTTTGATTACTGCTTTAATGGAATATCTTCTTCCACCCTTTTACTTGCAATCTATATGAGTTTTGAATCTAAAGTGATTCTTTATAGACAGCACATATATGGGCCTTTTATACATTCTGCTAATCGTTGCCTACTAATTGGGATAATTTAATCCACTTTCACTTAATTACTGAGAAGGAGGAAACTTACCTCTGCCATTAGTATTTTCTTTTCTTTATGTCTTATGCGTTTTTTGCTCCTCGATTTCACAATTACTGCCTAATTTTTATAGTTAGTTGATTTTTATAGTGTACTACTTTGAGTCTTGTCTTCAGTCTTTTTCAGTATATTTTTTAGTTACTATCTTAGTGGTTTAGCTTGGAGGTTACAATCAATACTTTACACTTATAACCACCTAGTGTGAATAGCAACTTAGTTAAAATTGTATATAAACACTTTACTCCTATATCCCTTCATTCCTCCACTTTATATGTGATTGTCATAAATTACATGTTTATACTTGTGTGCTTATTAACATAAATTTGTGATTATTCCTTCATGCACTTAACTTTTAATTCATATAGGTACAAAAGGAGTTATATACTAAAATTACAATCATACTGACTTTATATTTAGCTGTGTAGCTACCATTATCAGTGTTCTTATTTGTATTATAGTTGCAAGTTTCTGTCAGCATATTTTCATTTCTGTTAAAACCCTCCCTTTTCCCTTTAGCATTTCTAATAGAGAAGTCTATGATAACAAACTCCCTTTTTTGCTTTTTGTTATTAGGAAATGTCTAAAGTTTTCCTTCATTCTTAAAGTATCATTTTGCTAGATATAGAAATCTTGGTCGACAGCTTATTTTTCTTCAGGACTTTAAACATGGCATCCCTTTCCTGTGTAGCCTTCACGGTTTCTGATGAAAAATCAGCTGTTAATCTTATTGAGAATCCCTTGTACATGATGAGTAGCTCCTCTCTTGCGGCTTTCAAGATTCTCCATTTGTCTTTGAGTATTGACAATTTGACTATAATGTGTGTTGGCATGAACTGAGCTTTTTGAATGTGTATTATTATGTCTTTCATCAGATTTGGGAAATTTTCAGCCCTTGTTTCTTCAAACATTCTTTTATGTCTTTTTCTTTCTCTCTCTTCTCCTTCTGGACTCCAATGCAGTGTATGTTATGCTTGATGGTATCCCACAGGTATCTCAGCCTCTATTCATATTTTTCATGTTTTTCTCTTTATATTATTCAAACAATAATTTTTATTGCCTTATCTTCAAGTTATGGGTTGAATTGTGTCCCTCTACAACTTATATGTTGAAATTCTAAACCCCAGCACCTCACCATATCACTTTTTTTGGATATAAGATCATTGCAAATTAGTTAAAATGAGGTCATACTGGAGTAGGATGGTCCCCTAATACAATATGACTAGTGTCCTTATAAGAAGGGAAAATTTTGGATGTAGACACACACTTAGGGAGAAGGCCGTTTAAAGATAAAGACAGAGAACTGCCAGCCAAAGAATGCCAAATAATGCTAGCAAAACACCAGAAGCTAAGAGAGAAGGATGGAACAGGTTCTGTCTCACAGTTCTCAGAGGGAATCAACCCTGCCATTTTGGACATATAGTCTCCAGAACTGTGAACCAATAAATTTCTGCTGTTTAAGCTACTGAATGTGTTTGTGGCACTTTGTTATGGTGGTCCTAGCAAACTAATTCTATGTTTTGTTTTTGGTTTTGTCTTACTGAGAACTGTACATTCTGAGTACTGTAATGTGAAAACTCTAGAAATCACATATTCCCACTCCTCCGGAATTATTTTTGTTTGTTGAGGGTTGGAGCCCCCATTTGTGACTTCCTGAGCTTTTGCAAAATGTGTATTCAATGTGGAGTGTGGTTGCTGGAATTTCTGTCTCTGTGGTCAGACTTGACAAAGATTTCCTTAAATGTCTGGCTCCCAAAAAAGGCAAAATAAAAAATAAAAATAG